AAAAAAAAAACAAAAAAAAAATCTGTCATCAGAACTTCAAAATTGTTTCTCAATTCAATTGCATAAACCTGTGCTTAGCGATAAATAGAACTTTATCTTGGAAGAAAAAAAAAACTAGTTTCAATTCACGTTAGCTCGATTATTCAGAATTTTTATTATTGTTGTCACAACGGCTTTTTCTTTGCAACTGGATTTTCGTATTAGCATAATTTGATCTTATCAGCGTTTTTTTTTTTTTTTTTTGCACTCAGTTTTGATAGTAGCTTTGCAGAGAGTCTTAAACGTTTGTTTGAACAGAAAAGTATAAAAAATTAAACATAAGACCAGTGGAACTTTTGTTCCTACAAATAAAATTGAGATTTTAAAGAGAGCCTTTCCAACACACAGTCTTTACACTATTTCAGAACTGAGTAATTTTTAAGAAGTTATTTAGAGCACAAAAAAACACATAAATAAACAGAGAAGAAAGGTGAAAAAATTTTGGAAGAAAAAAGAATTCACTAAAGAGATAACAGCAAAATTTTTTGTCAAGCACAAAGGCGACAATCTTAAAAACTTAGAATATGCTTTTTTATAAGTTCTCAGCCCAACTGAGAACAACTCAAAAAATTCATAAGAAAGCTTTTTAGAAGAAGTTATTTCTTCTCAAAAACTTTCTTTGCTTAGTTTTATTTGCGGTGTACTAATTAATAAGCAAGTACCAATTTAAAAAAAGCGACTTAGTTGACAGCATATAATGACTATTAGAGCTTTGGTACATTTTACAAAGCATAGCAGAAAGAGGGTTCATCCAATTCTTGCAGTTTTTCACCACTTCCATTGAGCGCCTTGGCTTTGCTGGTATTTAAGAAGATCTCATCACTTGTGGCTAATTGTCATTATGATTATCCCGATAATCATTATTGCATTTACAACGCAAAAAAAGCAGTAGCACATAGGTAACATAAAACAAGATAGGCTAAAGTGAAATCAAAAACAGTTTTCAAAATTTAAAAAATTTCAAGACTTTTAAAATTTCCAAACTTGTTTAAATTTAAAAATCGTTATTTAGATTATCTCACGAATAATGGGAATTCTGTAAGTGATGATTTACTTTTAATTGAACAAGTCATAAACAGAGTTAGGTTTTACAACTGAGAAACTCAGAGAGGTTTTTAATTTGCTTTATCCAATCAATTACTTAACCATAAAAAATAAATACAAAAAAACTATTTTTAATTCTTTTTAGTTTTTCTACAACATTTTGGACAACCTAAGTAGTAATCACAATTGCTGTTCTTTTTGCTGTAACATTTAGTTTACAAAACAGTTTTCTTTTGCTTGAACTGTAAACTTCATCCAGTATTCAGCTAGATAACGTGTAGAACAGTCACTCAATTTAAAAAATTGTTTTTTAGTCTTTCTTGCGATCTTAAACCTTTTAGAAGTCCATTTTTGCAATTACGAGTATTTTTGACTCTTGCAAAAAATGTTAATTTTCTGATTTTGTGACAATGTCTACCTTTATTACTAGCCACCAAATAACTCGGTAAAAACTTACATTTGGGCA